CAATGAATTATATTGAAGTTGGTAAAAATATTCTAAACATATGTCTTTGTCAATCTTGACTCTCATATCTGTAAAACTGCGTAAAATATTCTAGGAATTGATTCTTCAAGATGTTGTGTTGTGTACAAAACAGTTGATCATGGTTTATGAATACGAATGTCCAATGGGGTTAAGGTAGAGTGATTTAAGTCTATAGCAGTATATCTCTGCTGTATACTTCTTATCCTTAGTTGTAGGAACTTGAATATCCGACCTATCAATATGATCTTGGCTGATCGTTAAAATTTTTCACGTACAATATTACAATAGACCTGTGCTATCGTCCTGCCTTAAATTGTTTTTCGGCTCATATCATAGCAAAAAAACCGAGGTGTTTTACATGGGTTTTAAATGAACTGGAAGTGTTTATCGTAGAACAAATTTTTGCTACTGACCCATACAGTTTGATGAAATCAATTTCCAAATAATTCAAACTTCAAACTAAAAGGCATCGCAAAAGAATACTGTCTTCCAAAAATCTTTTACATTATCTAAATACTTGGAGCGAACTCAAACCTTAGCTTCGATTCAGTAGGTGTTGAAAGAGGTATGTTACTGACAGCGTGGCCTAATAAATTCTCAGCATGAAGCTGTCTCCTGAGGGTAGTATCAGAATTCAGAAACCGAGATTCCTGCTTAATAAACCTGTTCTGTGATCTCTCACCACATACTAGTGATTGATTTTAGACTGTCACACAATTTATTGATCACCAACAGCAATACTAGTCCTATGGCCTTCTGGCGTCGGGACGTGACGACCCCATCGCCCACTGGTGTATTCCGGTGCAATCAGTCACGGGGGGGAGGGCTGGGGGTACAGCCCTGGGAGTAAGACGGTCACGGATCTGGCAGGAGGCCGTCCGTGGCTGTCTTGGGGGGGAGGGGATACTCGGGTCTCTCCGGAGGCCTGAGTTCGCTTGTGGTCGGTCGGTTTCCTCTCTGTCTGCCGTCGGGCGCTTGCGCTCGTCGGTGGGTGGTTGGAGACTGGCCGCGTGGGCTTGGGTGGGAGGGGTAAGGGGTTAACCCTCTCGCGATTAAGCAAGCCCGCCAGGCGGGGGGACACTCCTGGTCACTTGGAGTGAGCCCTCGGGGGGGGGAGGTGGCTGTTCGCGGCCCGCCGCCGGATCGTCGCGGATGCATGCTTCGGCGTTTCCCGTGGCGATCCACTTGGCGGCAACGGAGAGTGACCGCTGGTGTTTTAGTGGGTAACATGGGCCCTTCTGGCCGTGAATCCCACATAACCGCCTCTGTCTCCCCTAGACGGAGGGGTAGGTATAAAACCTTTCACCGCGATAACAAAAAAAAAAAAAAGTCCTATGGCCTCCCGGACCCATGTCTATCTACCAGATTAACTCCTTCTAAACTCTTCTTCATTGCTTTCCACGCACTTTCTGGACTAACATAAAACAATTTTCTCATCGCATTGTATTAACGCACTATCTTAGTTATTTCTTCTACAGTTAACTTTCGCCTCTAAATCAATATTAATTCAAAAACAGTTAAATCATCATACAATATAATATACAATTTTAAAACCGAGAGTGTCGGAACCTGTAAAAGTTTCTTACTTCAACTTAATTTTTAATGATTATTGTGAAAGAAAACGAAACGAGCTTTTTACTACACATACTAGAATGCTGAATCCGAACCTAAATAGCAAATGGTATTTTTAACTTGGTATTTTAAAAATTACGTTTCATACTTGTTAAGATGAATAAATTTCAAAAAACTTTTGCAGGATAACGTATATATCACGGATATACTAATTGTATTAATTAATGATCCTAAACAAACACAATCATGTTTTAATTTTTCTTTATTATATAAGGGTCTCTTTTCTTAATCTTAGTTCAGTAATGCCGCAGCCGTCGTATCCCACAGATCTGGTTCTTCGTGAATTTTTTATATACGAAACTACTGAGACCATCTAAGTACAGCTCTGTGCTACGATTAAGAAATAAAGATAGCATCGTAGGAGTTTTACAAGATCATACAATATATACATATATATTTGACGTATTTTGAAGATTTAAGTAAGCTTTAGTATGAGATTATAATATATGGGGCCTTTAATGGGGATAATATTTACGTTTCACAAAAATTAAAAACTAAAAATACATGACACTTTTCCAACAGTTTGTAAACTGCTTGTAAATTTTAATCCTATCAAATATTTTATTATACCATAAAATTTGTGAATAAATACGTTAAAACTGACAAACCTACAATATTCGTAGCTAAATCATACGATAAAAATGTTAAATAAACTTTTGCTTATCTTAAATGATAAATTCAACTTTACAAGAGGAATTGTAATGAAGACATCGGAATAGAAGATTAGAAGTTCCCAAAGAACTCAACTTCAAATACTATTGGGATTTAGATTAGGACACGTAACGAAATCTTGAAGCAAAAAAAAATACAAAGTCTACCTATAGAGTTATTTTCTTAAGTCGAAATACAATGATACCTAAGACATTTGCGTGTATACGTTTAAATCAAACTAATATATATCTTCGGATGTACTACAATTTTTTTACTATTTTAAATGTACAAACTCCCGACGTTTCGCTTCCTTTGCAGCAATCGTGGATTGCTCGAAAGAATTATAAACTTCAAATAGCAAAAACCTTACTCCAATATCCTACTTCAATTATTCCATATTATACGTAGTCACTTATTTCTGTTCAGACTGAAGCCGATCAATTTGTGAGTTATTTACCTTCGATCAATTCGGTTAGTCTCATCAGACGTCAAATTTATATATAGACGACAGACAACAAAGGGCACCCCGAATATCGTTCGTCCGAACCCAGGTTAGTGCACTACGTTCTGGAGTCTAGACGGTACAAGTCAACAACCGTACCCTAACGCTCGATATATTATGATTCTATCACAATCATAGTTTACAAACCAAGGACCTCCCAACCACCAACAATATCAATAAACACTATCTTTCATTCTAGCCCTGGTAATATTATGTTACCTTACTTATAAGAAAGTGCATAAGTTTATAGCTTTTTAAATCTTCCATCAATTTTCATCGCAATGAGTAATTTTTATATGATGAAACAACCAAACAATATATGACTAACATAAATAAGAATTATCGCTTGATCGTATTAAACAGTGAAAAATGTGTAGATGAGTAATAAAATAAAATTAAAATAAAGGAATGAGCACCATAGCTGTATAAAAAAATCTTAATTTAAAATTAAATTTGGAACACAAATTGGATGTAGATTGTTTTCTTCAACCTTTTTTTGTATTTATTAACAGGAGAGATTTGAAAATTATGAATATTTTTTATATAAAATTTTACAATTATAATAAAAGTTTAATGTATCATTTCAACATTTAAATGAATTCTAAAGCACAAAAAATTATATATTTTTTTTAATCTTTACATATTTAATATCTCATTATGAATGAAAGCACTCTACCATCATTCATTCGACCAATCTCTAAAACGAATTTAATCTTTAAAAAATATGTAAGAAGATAATCAATATAAAAAAGTTAAATAACTTGGAATACTTGCATAAAATAATAGACCACAAGTGAATACTATATCCTTAGTAACACATATAGTATTATACTGATTTAATATCAATTAGTTTGTGGCGGCAACAGATACATGGAAGGCTATTTAAAATACTTCTTACTACATAATGTCATATATATCTCTGTTGGATTTCTTTATTATTATAATGTTTACTTTAAAAGATCTACATACTGACATATTGATATTACTTATAGTATTTGGCCATGTCGGCCCAAACTGAATTATAGATACAAATAACTTAAAAAATTATGTATGTACAAAGCAAGTAACAACCAATATTGCTATAATAAACTGTTTGAATTTAAATAAAATACTTTTACTGTTTGTTTAAAGCAAATAAAAAAACCATCAAGTTGGGTTGTCATCTTGTTATGTTAACGGGAAGATGTTATGACGAAATTCATCATAAACTCATCAAAAAAATTGCAAAACTTTAATAAATTATACAGGAGTAAAACTTTAATATCTGGTAGATATACAAAATATGGTAATTTATAATAACCATAAAGCCATATGAAGTGACCAAATTCAAACAAAAATTGGTCAGACAGCAGTGAGAATATGCTTCTGAGTATAAAATATTGTCATTCTTTTAACTAAAAGTACTCTCATAATTTTTTCAGTTCAAACCAGATATTTTCATACAGGCTTACAGTTAACTTTATTAAGAAGGATCACAATAAGTGTAAATTTCAGTACACAATAAAAAAAATATATTTTTTCATATCACTCTATTTTAAAATTGGAACATTAAAAAAACTTTTTTTTCATTCATTCAAATAGGATTCAAATAAGTCTAGTCATGACCAAAGATATATACAACAAAGATGTCCAAACCCACATACCAAGTGACTAACAGAATGGTGTTGAACCAAGTAACACCAAGCATTTCATATTATATTAATATTATAATTAGCCTAATTATATTGTTACATATAATTAAAAAGCATGACTTGCAATATTTCATGACCTTTAATAAAAATGCCCTCAATTTTGCTATAAACATTTTTTTATCTAGTTATAATGAAATTGTCCCACTACAGAAAATATAACAAAAATATAGGTATAGAATAAAAATTGTTATTTATATCATATGAAAAATAATATATTTTTTATAATTAAAATATCATTCCATAATTTTTTTTACTGTGCCTACATATTGCTATCTACGCATCAGTGTAACTATTAAATATCGAGTGGTTATGATAACCAAATGTTATTTTCGAACTATTGTCTGCCATTTCTACTGAGGAGAGACCTTTTAAGTATCGATACATTTTTATTTAATTAAAGCACGACACTGGTGTAAACTGACGGCGAAAATCTTTTTTAATGACATAAAAGCCTAACAAACAAAGGTACAATTCATTTTCGTATGTTGTGTGAAAATATACGATCAGCTGATTTCTTTGTTTGACTGATGCTGGCTTCTAGCGCCTAACATTACGACGAAATGTTGACACGTCAATTATTACAGTTATTTTACACACTAGACAAACCGTAATAGACGTTATTAAACTACTTAGAAGTAAATTGTTATAGAGTTTTGCGAATAACTAATCCATAAACAAACCTTGCAACTTACCTTTGTAGTGTACTCGTAGATTATTTTGCGACAGCCCGATGTAACTAAATTTATCTTTTGTGCTCCATGATCTTGGCAGTGGTGTCTCATCTTCGTTCACATTTGGATAAAGCAATTTTAAACGATCTACATTATCACTTTGAACTTGATTTTGGGAATCCATCATCCCCCGTCCACTACCCATCGCAGCCATTTCTAATTTCCGTATTTCATGTCTGTCAATGACGTCACATCCACTACTTTACAATATTTCTCATAGATGGCAGCAATCTAAATAAAATTTTGAAATACCAATAATCTAAAACGGTGATAAATAATTAAAAAAAACTTAAACATTTCTTTAGTTACATAGATTTTTTATACCTAAATTTTAAATTATTTTCCAATAATTCGTAATAAAACTCTATTCCCTCCTGATACATTTGAAGTTTGTCTTCATTTTTCTGTAAAATTTTCTTAAAAACTTCTTGAAATTCTAAGAAATGCAACAAATACGAATCAGTTTTACATGAATTAAATTAAAAATGTATGGAATTCTCTTTTTTAAAATCAATATTGTTATAGATAATCACTAGAGAAACAAATTACATTTAAAGCTGCAGATATATGATAAGCATATGGCATGTGATAAGCCATAACAGTATAATCCTTACCAAATGTTAAACATGTTACCGAAATATTTGAGAAATATTGAAAATGAAGTTGAAATTAAACTGAAGCAACTTAAACAGTCCACATCTGAAATACTAGATAAAAAACAAATGTACTTCGATGAAGTTTTAAAGGTCGATAAGTGTATTAAAAAAATAATTGGTGAATTTAATCATTTTATAATGGCATATTTTTGAAATACAGATTTATCGAGAGGCTTTTACAAGTTTGGCTAACTGCACAATTACGCATTCAAATCTGCTTAATAAGATTAAAATTGCCTACGAAGATTCATTGCGGGTAAGAGATGAACGAATCTGCCAATTTCAGACCCAAGATGTAAGTAGTTTTGGTATCTGGAAAAAAATCTTATTTTATATTTGAAATTTAAAAAACTTACTATATATGAAATGTTTTAAATTACTATATTATATAATACTATATATAAAAGTTTAAGATCTCACAATTTTTTAATAAATATTTTTTTTAGTATAAAATTCTTTTACATCAGTGTTTTTCAATGTTGTTATATACCATGGTACATATGATTTTGACACTTAAAAAACAAATGTCAAATTCATATAAATTGTAAACAACTTACAGTTTTGACATTTGCGGAAATAACACATACAAGGCATAGCAAATCATTCTTCAGTTTAGTTAACAATTATAGTTTCATAGTGTCGTCAGTCTTACTATATACCTTTTGACTAAGCTATTTTAGCTAAAATTTACTAAACTAAAAAGCGTACTACATATATCTTTCCAAACTGTTCATAATACGATTTTTATACGGACAAGACTATCATGATATTTCGACACAATTCAAAGGTCTACGTTCTGGATGGTGGATTCTCTTCTCAAATTTCACGTCATGTTGGAGTAACTGCGGACGGCGATCCTCTTTGGAGTGCTCGGTTCTTACGTAGTAATCCGGACGACGTAATTAAAACACATTTAGATTTCATTCGTGCCGGTGCTGACATAATAAGCACAAACACCTATCAGGCGTCGGTGGACGGATTCGTAAAACATCTCGGTCTTACAGAAAACCAAAGTCTTGATTTGATCAAACAGGCAGTCGGGTTTGCTAAGCGAGCCAAGGAATTATATAAAGAAGAATGTGAGAAGGCATCAGTACAACCGCGTGACATTTACATCGCCGGCTCCGTGGGACCCTATGGAGCTTATCTCCATGATGGATCAGAGTACTCGGGTTCATATGCTAAAAATACTTCTAAGGAATCCATGGAGAAATGGCACAGACCTCGTATTGAGGGTTTAATAGAGGCCGGCATAGACATCTTAGCTTTAGAAACAATGCCATGTGGAAAAGAAGCTGAAATGCTTGCAAGCATGATAAAAACTTATGCTCCAATACCAGCCTGGATAACATTCAGTTGTAAAGATGATAAAAGTCTAGTTGACGGAGAGGATTTTCAAACAGTGGCACGAAGATGCTGGGAAATAAATACAGAACAACTCATCGGTGTTGGAGTGAACTGTTGCTCCCCGAAGGTTGTCGGGAATCTTTTTAAAGACATAAGTAAGAGAATAGAGCCACCTATGAGTTTAGTTACATATCCAAATTCAGGAGAAAAATATACCGAGGAGGGTTGGGGGGAGCGAGACTGTGATACATTGGACACATATGTACATGATTGGTTGGATCTAAATGTGAAGTTTGTTGGAGGCTGCTGCAGGACATACGCTGAAGACATTGCTCAAATAACAAAGAAAGTAGACTCATGGATACAAAAGAATTCTGATTAAATGTTAATAACAATGTGTGCCTTCAAAATTTATGTCTTACAAATTTTCAAACTATTTTGTCATTTAATTAAGATGATTTTATACCTGTTATATCTCAATTGCATATTTCTATATATTGTTACTGAACATATATTTTATTGAATAAATATATTGTACATAAAGTATGGACATAGCTGTTTTTCTTTTATATATAATAATTTCATTGTTTTACAGAAAGTATTTGGTATTTCAATGAGAAAAAAACAAACAGATGACAAAATAAAAATGTTGTTACAAGAGAACAATAACTTGAAGGAGGAGAATCTTAAGCTATCTTTGAAAATATCAAGATTAAAAAGAGAAATTGGAAAGGTAATAAAACAAATATTTATAAAATATTTTTTGTAACTGCCTCAGCCGTGAATATATATCATTTGTACATAAACCATTAACCCTGAAAACAATTAATAAAAAAATAAAGAGGATTTGAGAACCTCTTGATTTTTTAAGTTGTTTAAAAATACAAGCATAATATTATTTTTCAACAGCAATTTCTAAATCGTAGTTTGTTTATTTGCAACTATTCCACATTTTAAAGGCAACAATTAGTGTTACTCCCAAAAAAAGATTTATATAACCTAACTGGTAAAATAGAAGTAAGAAAATAGTTTGTTTACGTATGACCCTTTAACCTGTTGTTTACAATATTTTAATATGACGTTATTGGTCAGAGCCAACGTCAACCGCGATAAAAAGTCAAACATATTTTTTAGTTATAAACATGAATATTTATAACATTTCTTTTACCGCTTAATTATCACTGTAAACGTATAACGTAAGTCACAATCAGTAATCACATTCTCCGCTGTTAGCTAAGTCAATAAACAAAATTATTATGCAATTTAATATCATGAATCTTCTTTATGGAAAACTAAATTCTTCGTTCAGGAAATGTTATCATTAGGCTATTTTAGAATGTTGGACTTAGACAATAACCCTTTGGTTAGAAGCTAATCGTAAATTGAGTTAATGAAAATAATAATTATTGCATAAGAATTAGAATGCTCACAACCCTTTTCAGGCAATACAGAGGCAAACAACAAAAATACACATATGTAGTTGTACTGACTTCTGTAATGAAAGTATGAATGATGATCTCCACCATACTAAAAGGTTTCACGGATATTGTTATTCTTAGAGAGACCATTTTGTTTCTCTTACCCCAAAGAAAATTCTTAACAGAATATTCTTATTAAACTTATAAAATTGCCAGAAACTTTTACCGTGTATTAATATCTATCTACAGCTAACACCCACCAAAGCAATATACCTTACAATATCTAAAAGACATAAGATGTTATATTTTTGTTTTGTGCACATAGACAAAAACGAGTTATTGTTATTTCGTTATTATACTACTTCAGTTCTTGATGAAGTAAACAAATGGGTTCATTCATTCGCATCCACAACGTTTCTTCAAAACGATATCAATTGCTGCGTGACTGTAAATGAAGAGCAAACGTGGTAGTTCTCGTTACTCGTAATAAATAAATTGTTAAACTTCATAACTTTCTTTGGCCTATATTTATTAACGACAATACAAGTTATTTTAAACAACATACCAGTTTATATACATACCATTAAAAGATGTTTCAGATGCCTGGTCATGTGTAGGTCTAAGTTTATTGACTACCAGCCTTCTGGGTCTAATTATCTGGTTATTATTATATTGAGTATTTAAAATTATACAGAGCTTTGAAACAAATTTTGCGTCAAATTAGATTTGTTGATGTGAATATGAGCAGCAGAATTAGCACTCTACCAGTATTCCATTGAAAGAACAACAAACTTAACACTGAAAACAAGATATTAATGCTTCCACACAATTGTGTTCACTTGCGATGTCGTGCTTAAAAGGTATATGAGTTGTGTGTGACTTACACATACGTACTTTAGACCTTTTTCATCTTTAATAAGACCGACTTGAATTTATTAAATAAGCCCCTATAGGATTCCATCTTAATCATATGTTCATAATTATATTATGATTCTTTTAGATGTTGCTATTAATGTCCTTTGCAGATTAAAGATGACAAGTTTTCGGACTACTTGTGTCTGATGCGTGAGCGTGACGCTCGATATACATTATACTTCGAGAACGTGGCGCTTCATCTGAAGCTAAGAGAGTTAGACGGCACTACCAGGTGTTACTCGGTCGACGACTCCTATGGTGATCCTGTCATACTTAAAATCGCTTTAGAAAAGTGTCGGTAAGTGATATTTAGAGCTTGATATCTTACACAGGTTAAATTTGCACCTTTATACAGTAAATGAAAGGAAAATATAATATAGGGAACAGTTATCAGCTGCGCAAAATAACTTGAAAAGAATGAAAGAAGAGTACTCAGAGACCATACCGCGACGGGAACATGATTTACTGGACGCTAAATGTTACGAGCTCACCAAGGAAGTGAACACTTTGAAAACTGAATACGGTATTCTGCAAAATGCACATAAACGAGCCTTAGGTAAATATAACATGCCACAATATTTATAAATATATAAATATTAACGTATCTATAGCTTAAGCCCTCCCAATTCAAGTACATATATTTACCAACTTACTCAGATGTCGCTAAGCAAGTATAGTCATTTGTCACTTTTTAAGTACAAGGTCTTTATGTGTTTTCGGACCACGTATATTTATGTCTATAAAGTCAGTGGTGGCCTAGTGTTTAAAAGGCCCGCCTCTCATGCATGAGGGCTCGTCTTCGATCCTGGCCCTGGCAAAGTACCAATGTGATTTTTCCGAATCATATGTACTTTCTAAGAGTATTTCGACATCACTGATTAATGCATTCCCAAAGAGGGTTGATGTCAGGCAGGCGGCCGGTCGTATAAACAATTAGCCAAAACTATTCAAAATATTTAGGGCAGAGCCTGGCTAAAGCTGGGAAATTGCCAGGTAGAAGAAGAAGATATATTTATGTCTATAGGCCAGAAGAAAAGCTTGGAGGAAGAATTACGTGAGGTGAAGGAGCGATGTGGTGACCTAGAGCGATCTGGTACTCCGCGACCATGCTGGGAACTATGTGGAGACTTCATCAGTGGCGGCCGGGACCGGTGACTAAGATGTCTTATAATTAACAAATACGTTTAGTTTTTAACACTGTTTTTCTCAATTTCAGTATTATGTATTTTCAGGACAGAGTTACATTGTTACCAAACTAATTATTATAAAGAATTTAGTTAGTTATTGTTCCAAAAGATTATGGAACACCATTTGTCTTAATTTAGAAAAATTTGTGCAGATTAAATATTGATTATATAGCTAAATTAATTGTGAGATGGTGATGATTATATTCTTTTATTTAATACAGGTGGTGGCAGTTAGCTAGCGGTTTATCATCGAGAGACATGCTGAGAGTTTTATTAAAAGAACTCGGGCCTGCAGCCGAGAGCGAACATCTAGAATACTTCGATGGTCTGGTGAGAACCGAGAAACTCAACCAACTTGTATGATAGCAGCTCTTAGTATTCTATTATTTCCATAACCTTTCCACCAGGGTACTGACCCAGCGATCCCTCCCTATCTCCGTCATGAAGGTCGAGTCCGTAATCTTCGTCTATCCCGGCGCGAGGTTCGAGTGCTTGTAAACGACATCTGGACGTCTCGAGCCACTCACAGAGATCTTCCTCTACAGGATTACGTCACACGATACTTTGAAGAGAGGTTAATTACCGTACATATAACAGTTAGAAGTATTTCGAGTACACGTTTTAATAAAACTACATTTTTTTATTAAACTCCTAAGTCCTATTTATAGGTTAAGAGATGAATTCAAAAAACCGTTGTATTATTTTCCATTCCTTTTTTTCCAATTACATTTAACTGACTTAAATCAAAGGCCAAACATAGCGGACTATCTGAAGAATCTATTTCTTGCATATCTCTAAGTGTGTGAAGGTATTTATCAGGTACCAACAGCCATCAGTTCGTGCGGAGTGGTCGTACAACATGTGCGCGGGTCTCGAGCAGATGATGGACGAGCCCAGCGTAAAAGTGTTCTGGGGCGCGCTGCTTGGACAACTCAGCGAAGACGTGTACTGGAGGCTTAGAGATTCCTGGCACATGCTTAGGGATAGGCTCTATACACACACTGGCGGGGAGGAGGTCAGGACTACACACACAAGCTTTATATAATCTACAGCATCATAGGAACATTTGTTTAGTTTGAGATGCACTAGTACACTCTCCCCTTAATGAGATCTAAAACTTCCTCGGTATTCATTTAAATGAAACTAATAATTTCGATTAATATGGGTTGTTTTTATTATGTTTAAAACTAAATACTCCCGACGTTTCGATTACTTTGCAGCAACCTAGTGATCAAACGAACCAGAAAGGAATGTGATCAAGGGCAGATGAGACTTACCTACCTACCAACACTTTACAAAAAATATATAAAGTCTACTTAATGGTATGTAACTCAAAATTTGATTCTCAGACCCTAAGTATTGAGGAATTGGAGAAGGTAACGCGGGCGACCTTCCCCTTGAAGAATGAAGTTGACATAAAGAACTTGATGGACGTCGTCAAGAAACAACTGAAACTGAAGATAAACGTTGTTGAGGTGAACTTGGATAAATTGTTTTTTGAGGTACGCTAACAACTAAACAAATATATTTTATGATCTATCGAAAACTTAGAATTTAAGTACTATGACTTAAAACTACTAATTCTTGATTACAAACAACCAAATTCTGAACTAAAAGAACAAGTTTGTAATTTAAACAAAGTAGAACCTTCTTCCAGTGATTAGTCACTTAAATCTATGAAGTAATTGTAACCAATTAGATGAACGATTCCTGAAATAAAAATCCCCAGTTCCAATGTATAAATATTTCCAGAATGAAGAAGGTTTCGACCGATCGGAATTAGCGCGGGAATTATACAGACAACGACAACTGGCTCAAGACAAATACATAAGAGAAGTGATCGCTGAACTCGGGGGGAGGAACCTTAATAAGACTATTAGTGTGGACTGTCTTAAACGTGCCTTCGCCATTGTCGACCCGGCCATAGGTACGCAATAAGTGTTATAGTGTTCACATTTATCCTATAATACAAGTGAGCCTATTGTAAATCGTATAATATTAAACTAAAACAACTGTTCTCTCGCACGCAACTCTCTAGTTTAGTTTGACCTAGCGACTATTATCAAATGTCAAACAGTCTAGATCTTGGCGATATGATTATGAAAGTTATATTTTTAAAAAATCTTCTTAAAAAAAGAACCCGACAAACTTTTTTATTTAACATCAGTTGACAATAATTAAAAATCAACTTTTTAATGATATAAAACGTTTTCGTGTTTTTCAAACCTACTATAATACCGAAGCTCGAAGAAACAAATTCCAAAAACTGTGCCAAGTAGTTTTGTAATAAATATTTAATTATATTAATGAACAGATCACATCCGCATGGAACGCTACATCCGCTGGGCCTTCTCAGACCAAAGTTCTGAACTAACAGCCATTTGTCCTTTACCGCTACGTACTATCGTGTCGAGACTTGCAGCGGGAGACATTGAGCGCATTGGACCGAGACAAAAAGGATTTCGTAGATCTTATAAATAATTATATTTTTTATCCTTATATGTTTTCAAATACTTTTATGCACGCATTGAATGAAATAAAAACATGTTTATATTATTTGATTTATTTTAATGTAGACCCTTTATCTAACGTTTCTCAAACAAACTTATTGTCAGGCAATGAAATCGTAACTTTTACATAAAATAAAAACATACACTATGAACAAAATATAAACTTGGTTCTTCTTTAACTAAAAAAAATCGACCTCTCTGTAACATTCATAATAAGTCGCCTATGAAGGATTGACCATGCCAGCACTGTAGTTCATTTGTAGTTCACTAAAATTAGAACAAGAAATCACTAACTGTGAGAATATGACAGATGGCTTGGATGATGGTTCAATTTCTCATATCTTATTTCCTTGTTTAAAACAACATTCCCCGCCCTTAGTATATTTTTAGCCTTTAGTATATTTTTAGTTTTATAATCCTTATGTTTAGTTTGCGTGTAAATTTATTAAAACTTTAGTAGTTCTCTTAAAAAATACTTTATAAACTATGCTTAGATTATTTGGAACTTCCTTTTATAAAATCACTCATCCTTTTTCTCCATCAAGCTAAAAGAAGTAAAATAATGCCTTTATTCCATTCAACAAAATACTTCGTGTTTTATCACCTCAATAGTCAAAATTAGAAAACATCCAACAAATTAAAACGTTGATATTGGCAAAATATTTCACGATATCAGTGCGAGTGAAGCCACAGCATTAAAAAATTAACAATAAACTGTCAAAGTCAAGTGTCAACATTTACTGTCAAAAGTAACATATGGGCTGTAGGCTTTTTGAACATGTTATTTACAAAACAATTATTAAATAGGTTTTAGAACTGATTTATTTTTTCATATGTTATCGTTAGAAATTGTTTAATGACAATGGCAGATATTGTAGAAAACCTAGAAATTGATAAAGACACCGTATCGGTAGATGAACTAGAAAATATATTTAGTAAAAAATATGACTTGCTGACTGAAACAGCGGTAACCCTAAAGAAAACATACATTAATAAGCTCAGTTTAAATAAGTAAGTATGTAATATAGTGTTTTTGTAAAAAAATATTTTTCTAGTCTTATTTTGCCAAACATTTAAATTTCTTAGATATTAGGATACTTCGTTTGCTACATTATCAATGCAATTATATATCAATGTGAGAAACGACTATTAAACATTAAGAAATTAACAAGAAGAGGAAGCATTTTTTTGTACAACTTAAATGTAACTAAATCACAAATAATAGAAATAATATTTCAAAATAATATAAATTTCTCTTAAATGTACATAAAATCTGTCATTTTTATTACAGATCTCTCCATGTAGCAGTCAGCTTACTAGATAACAGTATAGAAGTTTATCAACTCACCAATTCCTCATTATCTAAAGTATGTCGACTGAGTGGTCATAAGGACAGTCTCACTGAACTGGTATTCAGTCCTAAAGAGGAGCACCTGCTGTATTCAGCGGGCCACGACGGAATTAAGTTGTGGGACACAAGAACAAGTGGATTGTGTACACAGGAATATAAAGGTATAATGATTTTTAATGATAAGTATAGATAACAAAATAGATGATAAAGAACAAGACCAACTGATAGACATTCACATCTCATCTGCCTGTGATCATGGTTGCTGAAAAGTAACTGAAACATCAGGAGTATGTAGTTTTTAAAATAATAAAATACAATAATGTTAGTTTCATTTTTATAAGGTACATTTTAATATTGAACAGAATAATTTTTAATGTGATCGAATTTAATAATGCGACTGTCACCTATATTTCATTATCATATTTAATTATATGTACAGTTATGTACTAGGACAGAATAGACTAAATGTTAAAGTAACTGAAACATTCTACTGGAGGTCGTGGGTTTGAATTTTGCTCATATCATTAAATATTTCAGCTCTACAATTTCTATTTAATTTTAATTTCAATATTCATATTGAACAATATACTTTTAAGTATATAAAAAAAATTATATCTAACCTCTTTATTTTAGGTGAATGACCTATGGTGAATTAACTATCCTTAATCCTTATCAGTAGGAACACTTAACAAGAATAAAAAAAGTAATTGCAATGTAACCAAATATAATTTCTATTATATAACTAAATATGTTTATTAAAGGACTTTTTTTCTGAATTACATGTACCATTTGCTTCTTGATATAGCCTCTCTATTTTTCTCCATTGTGACTTTGAGAACCCTTTTTTCTTGTCCTTAATTTATTTATTTTGCCACATTTTATATATCCTGTCCAACATCATTTTGGATATTTCAAATGAGTTACATCTCTTACTTTCATATTCCTTATTCCAAGGCTTATGATTTAAACTGATTCTTTAAGTGCTCTTTCTCTTTGTATATTATTATTTCTATACATTTGTTTCAGATGAGCCGGACGCTACTCCTCGTCAGTATGAGTGTATGGACGTGTCATGTTCAGGTCGGCTGCTGGCTGCGGGCAGTGTGTTACATGAGGATGATGCATACCTTGTGTTCTGGGATGTACGGAACACACAACCTCTCGGGGGATACTGGAACTCACATACTGATGATATAACACAGGTAGTATATTGTAAACTGATTACTTGTATTTGTTTAGATTTGGTTGATGCTAATTTTAATATAGATTTCAAAGAGAAACTAATAATGTGTTATGTGACAGTGTAATAAGTGGTCGTTTAATTAAAATATAATTATCTTTATACGGTGTAATCAGAGGACGCCTTAGCTTCTGGGTAAACTCGTCTATTCTACATGGGTCTGACTAGGCAGTTCCGTGTGAAGACAGTTTTTGGTTTTATATTTCTTTTATGTTTTTAGATTATAATATTTCTTGTAAGAATTTCATTAGATTTATTGTCACTATTTGTTCAACCTTTGTGCAACATAGTCACACCCTAGTTGTAATTTACTTTTAATTAAATTAAGTCAAATAATTTTGGTTTCATTGCATCCACCGACCGTCGAAATCATAATTAATGTGTACTTAAAAACATATGTTATGTTATCTTCTGTTTGAAACTTAAAAGATGTCAATAACATTTTAACATGGATGAAGGTTTATCTAGATATGGGAACTATATTATTGTAAAGTTATTACATTAAAATCAATTATGTATGTAGTTTTTGGTTTAATAAATTAGTTACATGTATAAACAAAAAAAATTTTGTACACAATATTTGTAATTATCTGTTAATAAGTACAAAAAAATTAACAATTTTCCCACCTTCTTGATCCTTTGGGAAGTTAAAAGAAATAGATGCTTACAAATAATATACATTAAGTAACTATTAAAGTATTATACAAAACATATATTATTTGTAACACTATCATCAACAAATATACAAGTAAATGTTTAAATAATGAGATTACCAAAAAAAATTGTTTTATCATATACAATGATGTTATTTCCAGGTGAAATTCCACAAAGAAAAATCTGAGATTCTTTCTTCTGGATCTTTGGATGGTCTCCTTAATATATACAACGTACTAGAGGCGACAGAGGATGACGCACTCACTTACTCACTGAACGTTGACAACTCCATAGAGAAGATATCCTGGCTGAGTGAGGACTTGGTGGCGTGTTGTACACAGTCACACGACGCGCAGCTCTGGAACACATGCAGTGGAGACCTGCTGCAGACTTACGACAGAGAGAAGATCGCTCGAGGAATTAAGGTTATCACACATACTCACACCATTACTACTTATATGGATCTATTAATATAAGCCCCATTAAGGTGGTAGTTCACTTGGCGTTTATTTGTTGTGTTCGGATAATAAGACCATGTGTGGACGATTTATTCGTTTTCATTTGACATATTTGCACAAATAAGACACATACACAAATAAGCGAAAACGCGTAAAGACTTGTTATTGGCATGCCAAGTGTGGATGTAGTGTTTGCGCTATTTTTACTACGTACAAATATTTGAACAAATGTGGCGAATAAACTACACCAAGTGAAGTGCTACCTTTAGTCTTATATATGTGATTGTTTCTGTGTTTCATACACAATGGGACTTATTTGTAATTTGTAATAAGGTTGATACTACCTTGCCAACAAAGCAACTGACCAAAATAATTTTAATATTCCTATCAAATGGTTCTCTATAAGGTGTATAGTAATAATCTCTATTTCGTATTACAGAGACTGCGTGCTGATGACTGCTACTTGGTTGATATGTTCACGTCTAGTGACAAGTCAACAGTTATATTAACAGGCTCCTACAGCGGGGAGGGGTGAGTGTCTTTGTTAGACTTTCTCAAACAGTCATACTTGATGATAGCTCTGATTCATTTTTTTTCCATTTCAATTTAGTCCTCAAATGTTAATATTCAAATTTATAATCTTCCTGTTAATCTTATTCTCTTTCTATAACTTTTTGTGCAGAAATGGTTGATATAAAAGTTCTATAAATATTGGGTTGCTATTACGTTATATATACTTAGTGATCATCCCTATTAATTACTTTATTCAATTATCTCTGGAACTCCATATAAAAAAGTGATTTGCAATAGGTTTGCATAGATAATAAAATATTTATATTGTTACTAGCTTTCCGCCCGCAGGTTCGCCCGCGTTGAGTTCCGTTATATCGCGTTTCTAAGAGAACCTTTGAAAAGTCTGTGATAAAAACTATCCTGTTCTTTCTCAAGGTCATCTCTATGTCGGTACCAAATTTCATTAAAATCAGTTCAGTGGTTTAGGCGTGAAAGCGTAACAGACAGACAGAGTTACTTTCGCATTTATAATATTAGTAGGGATTGTTAATTATATTTCTATTACTATTTATTCCGTAATAAGTATGAATAAGCAGCGGAATCTTGGTTACTTTTATCAAACAACACAATCAAATATAATTACATAAATCCACGATTCACAGTCATTTGGTTAATCGTGAACCAATTGCCATCGACATACAAAACACGCGTGTGATAACATGGGCAATAAACATGATAGTAAATGTTGACCTCAACTTGATTGACATTAAAAATAATATTTATTTGATTTATTTTTTACAGAAATCTTTTGAGGTCAGTGACCGCTGAGGACAAGAAATTGAGACCATCTTGTAACTTTGTGAAAAACAAACAGGTTGTGAGGTGTTTAGGATATGATGAACAGGTCGGTTTGATACTGTAACTATTAAAAATTATATCTTTTATAAAATATGTTATTATATACTTGATTTCTTCTGAACATTAGTCCATAAAGTTGTGTGAATTATTTTTAGTAAAAAAGTACAAAAAAAATCTACTTTAACACCCAGTTCAAAATTATAGTATAACAATCTAGATATAGGACATTAAAAGTTATTAATTATTATTAATGTATTCATATAAGTATTGTTATATTTCCAGAGAGACATATTAATAACAGCCGGTGAATCGGGACTTGTCAGTGTGTGGAGTACTGAAGGACCGGCAGTGAGTGAGGAAATAAAACAAAGGAGCAGAGGACATAACAGACATAAACCATACTGAAGATTACATACTATACATTAAGTATGGGGTACTATGTCCAGTGAAACAAGATAAATATTGTAAACAAACTCTTACTAGGCTGGTACACTTGACTTATAATTAATATCTATTTTTATTAATAACAAGATTTCATTGAAAGTTAATTTACTTTTACCTTTGATTGAGCTTGACCTGGTTATATCATGGAATTTGAGGAACAGAAAATTAAAAAAAAAACAATCAAATTGTTCACTATTTTATTATAGCACTTTGTAACCCAAAAATAACTAAACATAATTTTACAATATAGTAAATATAAAATAAAATAAAAAGAAATGGAATCATAAAAATTACATTATAGATTTTAAAACCGTCATTTATAAAACACCTTCACAGCTAATGAGAGCCGAACATTGTAACATAAATTATTATGCAATTAATTCTACATTTAACTATCTAATAATAGTGATTTAACTGCGATACTTCATTAAGCAAAATTTACATTTCACTAAAGATCTTAAAATAAATATTATCACCAGTCATCGTCCTTCACAATTATACAAAATTAAATTATTCATGTAAATATAAAGATTTGTGATAAAAATTGTCTCCCTCTTTGGTTAGTGGATCCTTTGTACTAACTGACATCGGTCACTTCATTATTTGGGTGATGAGAACATTATTAATCTGAAAACAAACACAGTTCAGAGTTCTCTACAACAACACACAAACATATTAATTTATAATTGAATTTTTCGATTCTTTCACATATTTATTATTATATAACTGTTAAGATCAGTTAATTTTATTCAAAGTATTTTGTTACAATTTGTTGCATGTCAAATACTTTGACTACAATAATAAGCAATTAGTCTGTGAATATATACAGGGGAGGCAACAGATACATGGAAACAATTGTTTTGTATGAATGTTGAGTACAGAAAGAATTGATCTGATACCATATTCTTGGTACAAGTTATAGTTTAATATGTCACATCGATAGTACTACGTTCAGTTAGTTCAACTATTCAGACTCGTGGTAACCCATAGTTACTCTCTTCATATATGAAGTGTACGGAAGTGACTAACCGGAAGTGAACGGCCTTGCTGGCGAGCAGGCGGTTGGCGTCGTCCGGGTCGGCAAGGGGCAGAGCCCTAGCGGGGGAAGCCTCCTCATCGGTGAAGGTGTGCTGAGCAGCTTCGGGCAGCAGCGGCGCGGAGCCCCCGGGGCCGCGCGTCCACACCCACTTCACACACATGGGACCGAACGGCTTGCTCTTCATCACCAACTGATGAAAAAGAGTTTTTAATATGGACTGGTTCAGTACAAGTGCATTTTGTATCAATAACCTACTCCCGATTTTTCGGCTACTTTTCAGCAACCTTGGTCACGGGCAGACGAGATGTCACATCTAGTTTTTTTTACAAAAATAAAAATTGCTTTCATTTAAATGAATACAACTATGGAAAATCGTAGACCTCATTATTTTTTCTTGGTAGATTATCAAGTCTCATTGAATCGATCTATATTTCCTACGTCATATTGTCTGTGTGTGTGTGTGTGTGTGTATGCGTGTACGTGTGTGTGTGCGTGTACCTGGTAGGTGATCTCCCTCTGGTTGCTCTGCGTGGGGTCCCGCTGGTGTTTGTTGACGAACGCCTTCACCAGCCACTGGAAGCCGAAGGCGGTGAACCGACACGTCTCGAAGTACAGCTTGTGGAGCTCCTCCGTGCGGAACGGGCGGAGCTGCAGGTCTGAACACACACACACACATTATATTACAATACTCTGACACCAAACACTCGTTATAAGCAAAACAATATCGTTGTATAGATATCATATAACGAGTGACGCCGCTGACTCCGCGGAACGAACACCAAGCCGTGTGAACTAGAAGATTCCTGATACAAAAGCTATGGAATGGTAGTGCTATCCTAACATCTAGGCTGATGTAGTCTTAAGTGTAGGTTATAATTTTTTATATATAATTCTTATTATAATATACATATACTAAGTTTCTTATTTTTCCTGGACCTTCCAGTTGACATTCAATATAATTGACTTAAAAATCGAATACGATGTATCATGTACCAACAGACCAGTCAAGTGTGTCAAGTCAAGTGATGTATGTATGTAGTGTGTTACCGTTGAAGGTGATCTTCTCATACGAGAGCAGGTCCATGAGGTCCCTGTAGTGCGCCAGGTTGTGTTCGTGCTCCTTCTGTCGTCTCGCTAGCATACTCATCAGCTCAGCGGCGGGGCGACGAGGGTGCGCGCAGATGGCCTCGTGCGCCGCCGCCGCCTTGGCCGCTCCACGGTACGAACACCCCAACACGCAGTACCGACATGAAGTCATCCTGAACACACACACACATACAAATCTTGTGATGACGAAAAGAAACAGATCTTCATGTCACAAACCCACTGATAGCTACCTAATACCTATCTACTATTAGTCTAAAGCTCTGTCATAATCTACTCGTTAGTTTGGTTCGCATTCCGCCACATGTAAACCACCAGCGATAGTATTGTTAATTAAACGTTAAAACAACTACGATGTTACGGCGATTAGTTACGAACAAACATACGGCCAAGTCAAACTGTTACTCGTTCAAACAAGCGACACCGGGGCTATACTAGAACAGATGTGATGTACCTAGGACGCTTGGTGGCCTTCAGCTCCGACACGAAGAAGCGTCTTCTTAGAGCGGCGAGGAGGAGAAAGTACACAGAGCTGACAATACGAACCAAACCAGCGAGAGAAGATCGACGACTGGAATCTACTACCAGCTGTCTAAACTTGTACGGCCTGGGGATCGAACTGGGGAACAAGCATCGAGACGGAACTGATTGCGACCACATACAACACTATACCACATATATAACAATTCCTACCGATCCTCGCATATCTTCTCCTCGTGGTACTGCAGCGAGTGTCGCGGGAACACCTTAGTGCAGTGTCTACACTCGGACGGCAGCTCCGACACCGCCTTCTCCACGGCCAGGTTCCTCGTGACAGAGTTCTTGGAGATGTCCACGCGACAGTTGGGACACGTGGCTGTCTCATCGCGGAGCCTCGCGTCCGCCAGCAAGTGTGTGAAGCAAGGCGCACACATTAGGTGCCCGTTACTACACTGTCGATATAAATCAACGTTATTTACCGCCAAAACTAAATTAACATTAACACATCATCCATTATAATTTTATGATCGTAATCTAATAAATAAAATCACAGCCAATATGTACTCTCGACAACAAAAAAGTTACCATACTATCTGTTTTACTGTCTGTTAAATGATTCAAACCATAACCATATATATATTACGATTTGTTATAAAATAAAATGTGCATGTATGGATTCTACCTGAGCACCTGTCGCTTTGTGGATCCTGAAATCAAACTATCAGTTACTTTATGACAAGGAAACATAGGTTCCAATTGCTTGGATGTGTTAAAAGTAATATAACAAAAACATTATGAATACCAGAATTAAAATGTAGATAAATTAATCATTAATAATTAGTACTGTAATATAGATATTATCTAATGTTGTTTAGATTGAATGGTGAAAGTAACTATTAACTAATGACTTCTTGTTTTATTATTATTATTGTTATGCAACAACATGGCTTCCACTTTGTATGTTTGGATAAGGAGAGGGGGATTGTCTGAGGTGTCTCAATAAAGAAAGAACTACATCTCAAAAACAACTATTTATTCAGATGTAAAACTACAAATGATGTACATTCTATATTATTTTTGAGATCATACAGACTAGGTACTAGGAACCATACAGTATTAAATAATTATCAGTCTTCTTAACCATAACATTTAAATTTATAACTTATTCTCTAATTTACATTAATTATTGGTGACAAAAACTCTGACTAGAAATATTGCTGTATAGTTGTCGACAATTTTTTAAATATACCTACTTAAAACAATCTTGGGTCGATTTACTAGAAATACACAGTAATATGTACTTGAGTTTAAATTACGTCGCAATAATAATTAAGACACATCTTTATTTTTAAGATTTCAAACATTTAATGATATCTTGTGTATTAATAGATCATATTTTAATGGCTAACAGATTGAATTGATATAAAGCCATTGAATAAATTCGCAAAATAGTAAAAAATAAAACAGCTGACAAGACAGATATCTGTCTATCAACTGTTTTGAATACCTGGTAAACGGCAGCTTGAGGCAAGTCCAAGCAAACTGCGCAGCACAGAATGCCCCCCAATCTGTGCTCCAATTTCTCAATTTGATCAGAATCTAAAGCGGTTTTACGTTTTTTAGGCGACGGCTCTTCATCGTCTTTACAATCAGAAGCGATTACAGAATTTTCACTAGAAGAGGGCAAAGGCTCGGTGTTTGGAACCTCAGCCATTTTAAAAAAAATAAATTTAATTGACAATAAAGTAATGTCGCACTCTGATAGCAAGATGCTATCAGTACCTAGTGAATGAAATGAATAATAATAAAAACAAATACATTGACGAACAAAGGTTTGTTGTGTATGTTTTTAACGCCCCGCCCCCCTCGTACCTTAAGAATTGCCATAGTGCATTTTATCGATAAGCATTTCTATAATTTTTAAAATAAATTATAAGTAAATTTTAACTTATAGTTTCATATTTATAAATAAGCGATATCAATGTTTTCAGTACCCATGTACATTTTATTAATTTTCTGTGATATTTAACTTGAAACACTTTTCAGAATGTTTAGACCAATTCCTTAATCACAATTGATATGTATTAAGCATAAATATAATAGTATCTTTAATATTTATTTATTTTATTACACTTGCGTAGTTAGAAACACAAATACTGTCAGTTTGATCGAAGACATTGTTTCGTTGACGTTTTATGGAGATGGGGTGGCGGAGTTGGAGATCGTTACGAATAACGTTCATTATTATTTATGTTTTTACTATTTGAGTAGAGTCTGCATTGTGATATGAAGTAATTAAATGTTCAGTTGAGTCACATCGGCTTATCAATTGCCACAAAGCTACAGAAATGGCCACTCAGCCGAGTGACAACACAGAATTTCCGCCTGAAATCATTCTCAAACCCCTGGCCTTGATAGGGCTGTCAGGGCTTGATACGGTGAATAATGCAATCCACAAAGCTATATGGGATGCTTTCTCAAACAACCGTCGACCGGACCGAGCCGCAGTTAGGTTCAAGTTGCTGAATAACACGTTCGAATTCCCCGTGGTGAAGCCCAAGAGAAACTCCTATGAATGGTACATCCCCAAAGGTATATTGAAGAAAAACTGGATAACCAAACGCGTATCGTTAATACCGGCCGTTGTGGTTATTTTCTATGATATGGAATGGAATGATCCTCAGTGGAATGAAAAGATCATCGAGTGTGCTTCGAGAGTTCAATCAATACGGGCCGCGGTGGAGGGCCACGCTACTCGTGTGGCTGTCGTGGTCGTACAGAGCGGACTGTCACCCCCACCATCGGAGTACATGCTCGGAGCTGAAAGAGCACAGGCACTCTGCTCGGCGTGTGAAATACAATCTAAGTCTCTCTTCGTACTCCCTCACAGTGATCACCTCATGGGTTACATTATAAGACTAGAAAATGCTTTTTATGATATTGCACAAAATTATTATCATCACGAAACCAAGAACATCAAGCAGCATAGAGATCATCTGAATAAGACTACCCATCAGTATTTGTTCGTTAGACATCAGTTCAAACTAGGCTTCCTTAATGAACTCAAGCAGGACATAAGCACGGCCCACAAACACTACATGCATGCATATAACAATCTTCTAGATACCAGACAAGTAGATACTAATGTTCATGAAATAAGAACGGTCTCGGGATATATAAATTATAAATTATGTAAGCTGTTGTTTGCCTTAAACTTGCCACGAGATGCAATTGCACAAGTTAAGTCACATATAGACCGTTACAAAAACAGAATCGGACCTACTGAATTGCTGTTTGAGCATTATGCCTGGATTGCCAGGCAGTATAGTGCCTTTGGAGAATTATTTGATGAAGCTATAAGATTAGGGCTCCCAGCTATACAATCCCAACATCCTGGTTTTTATTACCAGTATGCAGCTCAATTTACAGTGAAGAGACGGCAAGCCATGAGATCAGTATGTTGTGATGCTTCACACTATCCACCAGCTCCGGACCCTATGGAAGGTATCGTGGAGTTTTATGGCCAACGACCTTGGAGACCAGGACGACTCAGTGCGGACCCTCATGATCCACAAAAGGAACAAGCGGCCGTGTTAGCTCTGCAGTATAATGAAAGAATTTTCAACCATTCTGCTATGATAATTAGTTTTCTAGGTAGTGCCATCTCACAGTTTAAAACATTTCACTCGCCTAGAATGAGGAAGCAGTTAGTAGTTGAAATGGCTAATGAATATTATTTTTGTGCGGACTATGGGAAAGCTTTGACTTTACTGTCGCATATGCTCTGGGATTATAGGAAAGAAAAGTGGTGGTTTTTGGCTTCCCATGTCTTAAACCGAGCTTTACAATGTGCCTACTTGTCTGCAAAAATTCAGGACTATATTCAACTATCAGTGGAAGCACTCTCCAAACACATTCAAGTGCCAAACAACGACAAAGATAGAATATTTAGGAACATAATGGCAGTTCTAAACATGAACATTCCGTCACCAGAGCCAAATCTCCCTCCTTCCTCGCAGAGTAAAGCATTAGAAATGTGGCAACTGGCTATAGATAAAGAGCCTCTCACAGTTGCCATAGACATGATAAACATAGCAAGTTTCCTAGAAGTAAAAACAAAGTTCAAGCAACAGAAATATAGGATGGATGATACAATTGAAGTGGAATTGTTTGTTAGGCTTACATACAACACAACTCTCGAAGTAAAAAGTGCTTCTATGACAATTTCAACAAATACAGAAACTATTGACATAAGTATAACAGATGAAGGCAGAACTACCCTGAAACTGATCGGAGGAGAAGTTAAAAGGTTCCTGTGTCAATTTAAAGCCAGTCCACATGATAATGGATCGGAAATGAAAATCAAAAGTGTATCTTTTGTATTGGACAGTGACAGAAGAAAAATTGTAATGAACTTTAAAATTGATGAAATCAAGAATGTAGAGCCCACGGTCCATCCTGAATTACTACACTTTATATTGAGTCCTAAAACTGACTATGAATTTGATTGTATCATGCCTTTGACCACTACGTCCATCACCAGCAGAGAATGTAGGCTGTCTTTAGATATTAAAAATGCAGTGCCGGCATTACAAGGGGAGTGGTTTCCCACCACTTTCACAGTAATAAACCATGAAGATGGTCCGGTTCATGATATGTCTATAGTGCTGTCACTTTTAAGCTCTCCAGACAATCCAAACCCTGAATCGGTCACAGAGTTGGGCTTTACACACGGTGAACCCGAAGCTCAACCCATAAAACTTTGTGTCGGAGATGTGAGCAAAAGTTCTTCATATTCAAACACATTTTATTTGAAAACTAATAGAACAGCCACAACAACTGTTCAAATAAAAGTTATGTACACAATAAATGCTTATGAAACACCTCAACTTGAATGTTCAAAAGAATTCACAACGAAAATCACAGTGATCAAACCGTTTGAAGTATCAACAAGTTTCGTGTCCATGAACTTTAAGCCTATAACAAAATGTTATGTAGACGATCCATTTATAGTTATGCCTCAAATAAAAATTTTAAGTCCCTGGAATTTAGTTATTTTAGATACGGAACTAGAAACGGTAGAAAGCTTTAGATATGCTGATAATAAAAAACCTCAATCATGTATAAGTAATCTACGAGTGGCTGAGAAGAATGTGGCCTCTGATGCTATATGTATACAGGCCAAGTACAAGCCAAAGGAAGTCGCTCCGAGGGTAGGCTTGTACAACATCTCTTGGCATAGAGAGAGTAACACAGATGGCCACTGTGTTATGAGCACTACGGCTCTCTCGGCACTTCCGATAGATGAGTGCCCAATTACTGTTGAAGTCAATTATCCAGAGGTCGTCGACCTCCAAACATCAGTGCCATTAAAATGTACTCTAATCGGGAAAACTAATACTCCTATCAGACTGAGTCTCTCCGTGGAAGGCACAGATGCATATATGTTTTCAGGGTACAAAAAGTTTTCAATCACTGTACCACCCAGAGACAAGGTTGAGTTATGTTACAACATTCACCCTCTAGTGGCCGGAAACACAATCCCTCCTCGGTTAAAAGCAACGGTTCTTGGTGACACGTCTAGACAAGAGGTTGTAAAAGAAATGTTTGAAAAAATCTTTCCTCAAAATATTTTTGTTATGCCTAAATATAATAAATAAATATTATTGTTAATCAATATTTGTATATAGTATTGAACAAATATATAATTATACTGTAGTTACCCTGTAATTATTGATAGAATAAAGTCAGTTACTTGTTTAACTTTTGTTTTATTGGAAGCATAGAAAAATAAACACTTGTTAATACTTTAATGAATTGATTTTCAAGTAATAATAATCTTTACAAAGTTCAAACTTTTCCTCCTGAATATCATTATTTTTATTGTAAGCATAGAAAAATAAACACTTGTTAATATTTTAATGAATTTATTTTCAAGTAAAAATTAATCTTTACGAAGTTCAAACTTTTCCTCCTGAATACCATTAGCGGTGATGATGAGTATGTAGATACTGTCTCCAGTATAGATGTCGCGCTCAGCCGCACTTATAAACACATCTTTAAGAAGCGCCAGAGCCTTTTCCCTAGATAGAGGCGCTTCAGTGACATTCTGCATATTTTTAAGTCCTATTTGATTGTCCAGTAAGGGTTGTAGCTGAGCTCCCGCAGACCCTCCCGCGCGGTAGTTTGATCTCTCACAATGACCGATCGGGTCGTAGCTGTAAACACATCCTTTCCCGTCAGCATCCAAGCCAGCTAGTACATTAGAGATATAGTAAGGGAAAAATCTCTTGTAATACAACATAGTTGACAACATTTGAGCCACCGCTGGTGTTGACATTGCTTTGTTATGTTCATGTTCGTACATCTGCATACGAGCTTGCAAAAGACGGGTGAGTGTTAATGTGTCGCACCAACATCCAGTAGCCCCGAGAACGGTGCGGTCGGAGAGTTTAAAGAGCTTCTTTTGTTCTCTTGTATATATAGAAAAACCAGTGCTTAGACGAGTATCGGCTCCAATAACAGCGTAGTCATCACCGGCAATTGCTACAACGCTGCCTCCGTTGTCTGCATAGGGTTCGAAGCGAACTTGTTTTGCTCCGGGTACGGCATACTCAGGAAAATTTTCATTTAAACTTAACATCCTTAAGCTTGTTTAAATTTGAAACAATTAATAAGATTTATTAAATAAAAACTTTATGTAGAGTCGTCAACTGAAATGATTGTTACAATTATGAATGACATGCAATTTATTTGACACATTAAACAGAGTACATAATTATGTCCATTACAAAAATGTTACAGATAACCATCATATGTTTCATTTGTAGTTATTTATATTTAAAATATGAATAAAGTGTAAAATTAATCATTTAATAGGGTACTCATATTCGTCCGACGCTGCTTCAAACTATATTGTGAAATATTAACATACATTGGCATGTTTCATTTTAATAACCTGCGAGGATGATTTTTATCTGTCAACCTCACCACGTCATATTTTGTCAATAATCTAAACACGTCAATTGTTAAAGGCCGGATCGAGGAATAAAACTAATAAAAATGAGTTCTCTTACATCTGTAATTCCAAAACTCTATCAAGAATATACTACCAAGACATCTAAAAAGTTGAAAATAATAGACGCCTATTTGTTATATGTCTTTCTTACGGCCGTTATACAGTTTGTATATTGTTGCCTTGTCGGCACCTTCCCATTCAATTCCTTTTTAAGTGGATTCATTTCCACCGTAAGCTGCTTTGTACTCGGTGGTAAGGGTTTTTTAAAGTAATTATTACTTTACCTTAGTTTCCTGAAAACACATTTATTTATTATCTTATGGTCATTATTTGGTTTCAGTTTGCTTGAGACTGCAAGTTAATCCGGAGAATAAAAATGAGTTCCAGGGCTTGAGTGCAGAGAGAGGATTCGCAGATTTTATTTTTGCTCATCTTGTTTTGCATATAGTTGTTATCAATTTTATAGGTTAAATTTATAAGCTATTGATTTAATTCACAATAAAATATAAATACTATAGTTATTTCTTCATGTTAATCCTAGTATAATGTAAACAAGCACATTCATACTTAGAAAGTAATTAAAATATTCAACATTATAGTAAAATAATGAATTTAGTCAATGTTTTCATTTCAAACATAAGAATTGTAGAGCACATTCAGATTTTATACAAATAAAGGTTTTGTGAAATACCATTAAATAGTTCATTCTTACTTGATTCAAATGTTGTGTTATAGACTGATATAGATAGACTGCTAATGATACTAAAATATGGCAAAAACTTTGTTTCTTATTATTCAATTTCTCATAAAATTATACCACAAGAATAGTAAGTTTTGTATAAAATTTTAGCAAACTGATAGTGATAAAAATATTTTTAAAGGCATCATACATATTAAATCACTTTATTCATAACATTTCTTTTTAGGTTCTACTTTATAAAAAGTTCAAACACCACCTTTTTTTCTGGACATCACAATCTACCATTTTTGTACAAAAAAAATAGAAAGTCTCAATATCAGTTTATCTATTTAGCAATTGCAGCTTATATTTGTAAGCATCTACACTATTCCATCGTCATAACTGTCCAGAAATTAGTGTCGGCTGGCGGTTATTCCTTTCAGAACCACCAAGTAGACAACATAACTAATCTCATAGAAAATAAGGTGTTCAGACAGGCTCAGTGGTAATAAATTATCAGATCACAATGAATCAAAGTACACTCATTTGGAGAAATCTCTGGCTATCTTTGCTTTATCTTTGTCTCCTGCATAAAGTGGACTTTTTATTCTGCCGGGCATGTGGTTTTATCAGCATGACACACTAGGAACCGGTTTGTTTTTTCGTAAACTCAACAGATGAGCTCGTAATAATAGAGGTATTTGTATTAACGATTTAATTGACTTGACTCATATGACTAAGTGTCAATTTCCGTCTGTATGTAAGTTTTCTGGAGCCTTACGGCTGGGGAAGTGTTAATTCATTAGATTAAAAAAGACTTTATTGCACATATGGTGAAGGAAATTGGAGACAACCTTAGGGTTGACAAAGAGTGTTTTGAGATGATATCCGTCCTCACTTAGTTTCAGGACAGACAATGTTTCCTTTGAATAGTGGAGCCTTCATTAGGTTAAATTTACTGTAAACAACAGCCGATACGACAAACCCATCAGTGTCAGGAGCAGCTAGGCGATTTACATAATTAATTAATCTACTACCTTTAAATTTATGGTATAGAGTTACATATCATTTGCCAACAAACGGACACGCGTTGTCTTTTGTAATATTAATATAGACGGTCTAAGCCGACATTACATCACTGAAGTTGGGTGATAAATGAAATGAAACAAATTTAATTAATCATATTTATTTTTGACTAGTTTTGAATCGTTTTTTTATTACATATTTGTAATTCACTTAAAATTTAACAATAAGTATCTAGAGCCTCACAAGAAAACACAGAGAGAGACCTCGCGAAGATGAGTTGAACGAACTCTGAACAGATTAAATGTACCGTGAGGAGTGAGGAGGGAACATGTACAACACTTACGGAGAGAGTCGTTACGAACTAGCTAAATAATTATAATGATGACAAATATTCAACATTTATATAACATACGAATCTTATCATACATGAAGGACGAATCCATTACAACAGACCCACGAGCGTACAGGCCGCCAGCGGTGATCTGAGTCACTAATATATTTATATAATATGTAAAGGTTAAAACAGTTTGTGCTGAACAACATTCAATACAATAGTAATGTTTGAAGTATAACTACAGTCCCGAGGGAGCATGAGCGGGAGGCGACAACATTCATCAAAAACATTAACTTCATATAAAAATACATTCTAATTCTAAATATTATATAAAATAATAGTCGCGTCCGGTGGCGGGGCGACTTCTGTACAGTAAATAGTGAGCCGTCCTCACACGACCCGCCGCGCCGCGTGTGTGTGTGCGAGGCGCGTGAGGATGTGTCGGAACACTCAGCTGGCGGTGTGTGCGGCGCGCGCCCCTCCCCCTCCCCCCGCTCCCCCCGCGCGTCGCTCCAGGTACCTCCTACGAGCCGCCGCCAGCAGCGCCTCCTTGCGTCTCCTCAGCGTGTCCTCTCTCTCCGCCGCCACTGATGAGAACCCCTCCGTGCTGGAACACGACACTCGTTTACTTCCTGTCGCCTGTCACGTTACTCGTTCATACAGTGTTCATGTGTGTGTGTTACCTGTGTTGTCCGAGGTGCGTGGTGTGTGTGTGTATAGGCGCCACTATGGCGGGAGGCGGCGCGTGTGCGGGTGCGGGTGGAGGGGGCGGGGGCGGGGGCAGCCTGCCCTCCAGTATGTTGTGTACGGTGACGTCCGCGGAGCGCGAGCGAGCCAGGTCCGCCATCACGGCCTCACGACCGTACTGAGGGAACACTGCCAACACCTGCAATACATATACAGACATTAAACAGTGTGTTCACCAACACTTGGAAATGGTTTTTGGTTTAATGGTATATTCGACCAACACATAGGCTCGTACTGAAAATGCCTGCTCATAACAGCAAATTTTACAGCCAGTCGTTCACTGTTCAGACTATAACTCTTTGGAACGACTTGCCATTGAGCATTCGACTGTCGAAAACCTTACATACATTTAAAAACTCCGTTAAAGCCTTATATCTCTCATCACAGTAATGATGACGACATGATTATGACAAATATTTAATAACGTCATATATGTATGTATTATGTATATACTATATATGTATTTGTATGTATGAATGAATGTATGTATTTATTGATATATGTACGTATGCATATTATTGAATATTTATTACTGTTATTTATTTTTGTATGTGTTGAGGTTGTTCTTATTTTAAGAGTATTTAAAATTGCACCACCTTATACTGTCTTTCAAACACAATCCTATAACCCAAGGTAGTCTGGAAGAAATGGCTAATAAGCCATAAGGCCGCCTGTTTCACCATTAGTTTATTAGTTTGTGATTGTAATTGTGGTGTACAAAAAAGTGTTAAATGAATAAATAACTATTCTCATCTTGTGCTATGTGTGTAGTGCGTGTGTGTACCTGGTCGGCCATGTCGTCAAGAGGCGGCGCGTCCCTGACCCGCGTCACCTCCACCGAGAAGCTCGGCAGCCACGACACGTACCGGGAGCCTGCACACGACAGAGACAAGGGTTAGTGTACAGTGAGCGACACAGGAAGAGCACTAGACATCACCTGACACGCTCCAGGAGGAGGTCAGGCGCGGGAGCAGGCAGCAGGCGAGCAGCACGCACACCGCCACCGCCCACACGCCGCACGCATACACCATCGGAGTACATCGGGGTGGTATACTGTATCACTCTTACTACGGACGAGTCATGTTCGCGAGCTCCTCTCTGTCAGTGTGACTGACGCTGACAGATGAATGATTCGGAAATAGAACTTGCGTCGTTCAAGGAGGTTCTATATCATGTGACACAAAGGAGGTCGCTCATTGAAAATAAATAACAGTCACGCATATAATAGGAGCGTCAGCGTCAGTCATGGGCGTTATAACGATCGGAACTCATAAATAAAAGTTCACTTGTACTGTACAATATCTTATTACTCGATTTCTTTACGAATGTATTCAAAATCACACCCAAACAGTAAGATGAAAATAGATTATGAGCCAATGGGTAAGCTTGTGCACTTTGTTTGCCGGATGTCCATAGTAAAATGAAAGTCCTCACTCCCAGTGACAAACACTACCATATTAAACACTGGCCGCGCATAACTTATATGAAATAGATCGACTTAAGTATAGTCCGTTAGACTTAAGCTGAGCTTTGCATTTGTGTGAGTGAAAGTAAAAGTAGAGTTAGACAAAAATGTTATAGAATTCAATTCTATTATATTTTAAATAGATACATAAGTGCTATAAAATAAGCAAAACTTGTAAAAGGCCAGATGGAAATATTATGAATATTATAGAAAAATAATTATTAATTAATAAAAATTTTGAATAACTATACAAATTCTTCTTCACTTGACATTGTGATTTCAACATTTGATTTTGCTACCAGTATAAAGGGTGAAGTGAGGAAGGTGCGGGGCGGAGTAAAATCAGTATAAACCGGTGCAAAACTAGAAAATAACGTGGCATTCACAAATTTGACATCACAACTACACTATCCGTGTGCACTCACCAGTGTCGTAACTAGGGAGATGCCAGTAGTGCAAAAGCACAGGGCGCAGACCCTGGAAGGGTTCAGAAATGACCAGACTAGTATCTAGTTTTATCTCAAGCATGATAACTATATACTTATATACTTTGTTACTTTGGTAAACAATAAAAAGATAGATTTATTTGTATGCACATTTGACAATTTTATTTTTAGGGCCTGGTTAGAGCATTTTTCAGGGGCGCAATTTTGAAAGCTCGCATCGGGCGCTTAAAAGGCTAGTTACGGTACTGACACTCACACAAATGCAAAGCTCAGCTTAAATCAAACGCACTATACTTATTACGTTTAATCCAAAATCGTCGCACCGTCATATAAGTAGTATTACATTACCTTATCTTTTGTTATGTGTCGTTACTCACCATCGAAGTGGAACAGATGGTTGTGTGTTGCGTCCAGTCCCATGGTGGCGGCTGGTGTGAGGGGTGCGAGGGGTGTGAGGGGTGCGGCGGGCGAGGGTGCGGGCCGGGCCTGCAGCGAGCGGCGGCACGTGGGGCACGACGCGTCCTGCTGCACCCAGCGACACAGGCACGAGCTAACACACAACACACCATCATGTAATGTATCTTACTTCCTACCACCAACAGATGGCGCTACTAGTATGAATAATATATATCAGGGTTGTCCAAGCTTCTTTGTTTAAATACATTAATGAACAAATACTGGTATATTAAATATATTAGTATTTTTATATTTTGCGGCTCACCAATGTATTAAGTTATTTTCTTGGCCCTAGGTCCTATGAAGTTTAGACACCCTTGATTTATATTAACTAAAAGATACCTTCTTGTACACTCCAGACAATTTAAATGTTTTAATATTGAACAGAAATATATTTATTTGACTGACAGTGAGGTCGTGACTACCTCTTATAGGCCAGTGCAGATGCCTCTAAAAATAATGAAAAGTGAAAATAAATTATAGTAGAATGAAACCCATTAGAAAAGGAGGAGAATATTATATAAATCAAGGGAAAAATAATTTACGGGCGATCTGAGGTCGGGAAGGGTGCGGTCGTGGGTATTTAAGGGTAAAAAATGGGTTTTCTCGATTTCCGGCAAAACTAAGAGTCCTAATGAAAAATTTTATATGGCAAAGTTGTAAGTAATAAAAAGATCTAAAAATTTTGTATTTACACTTTGTTCACATAACCTCAAAAATTGTGTGTAAAACCAAGTTTTTGGTTTTTTATTTTTTTCTCTTACAAAAAACAATATTTTGTCATGAAATTTGGTGGAAACTTACGTTTTGATATCCCAAATACACTGTAATTTTATTGATTAGAAATATTTATTTTTTCAGCTTATATTGAATGAATATCGTAAAAAATCAGCCTCATTTTCAGTCGAAAAATCACCCGTCAAAATATTAGCTTTTTTAAAAAATTTGGTGTTTTCTATTCGTTGAAATCTGTATTTTTCGATGGTGAAGAAAAAAATATAAGTTTATTAGTTGCAGTACCTTTTTTGGATAAAATAATCATGTCCCTTTTAATGAAATGACCCTCGATATCGTTTGGGAAATGCTCTTTCAATTTATTTTTAATAGTTTTAGTAGCCTAATGTCAATCTTCTGTAAATTACCTAAATGAGGGACTATCTGGAGATCTTCCAGAGTACACAACAGTAAAAGTTTTAGGTCATTTTATTACCTACAACTTTGCCATATAACAGTTTCACTAGGATCTTTAGTTTTGCCGGAAATCGGGAAAACCCATTTTTTAACCTTAAATACCTATCTCCATACCCTTCCCGACCTCAGATCGCCCGTAAATGAGTCCTTTAATTTTTATAATATTCCCCTCCTTTTCTAATGAGTTTCATTCTATTATAATTTAATTATGTTTTAAAAGCTATCGGCACTGGTCTAATAGTCACAGATAGTAGTGTATGTAATACTCACTTATGGAACAGATGTTTGCAGGGTAGTTTCCTCGCCTCGGTCATGGGTTCCCAGCAGATGGCGCACTTGTCCTCGTGACTCATCACCTCCTCCAGGCTCGCCATGGGGTAGCTGGAAACAACCACACCTCACATTATATATCTTCTTCTTCTTCCTGGCAAATTCCCAGCTTTAGCCAGGGTCTACTTTACATGTTGTAAATAGTTTTAGCTAATTGTTTTTACGACCGGTCGCCTGCCTGATATCAACCGTCTTTGGGATTGCATTGTTCAGTGATGTCTAAATATTCTCAGTATATATAACTCAGAAAAATCATTGAATGTGTTTTGATATATATTTTAAAATATTTATTCTATGCTATAATACTAAAAACATGTGCCAATAATAATTGAATATTATTTATATTGACAATGCATTTATCACGAGTTATTTTCTTATCGATATCACAAGTAGCATCTTGTAACAAAAATCTGTATATTATTTCTTTGTGTTTGATGTTAAATATTAATCACTTGATAACACAATTATATAAAACAGAATACTTTTATACAGGGTGACTGGTGAATTACTATCAATATTTAAGGAGCATACTCGGTACATGATTCTCATTCGAATTATGTAAAAAAATAGGTACTTAATTTTTGACCAAATTTCCGTATAAATAAATAAAGTGTGTACACGTTCCAAGTGTTCCAAGTGTGGACGCGTGCGGCGGCGTGCTGATACAACAACACGCCGCCGCGCGCGAGTGTGTGTTTGTGTGTGTATACCTAATCTGTAGGGTGTTCATACGATGCGTAATTAATTACATAGCTTTTGGTTAACTTTACTTAGAAGTTTATTAATATTTATGTTATATTAATTTTTATTTTGTCATATATGATCGTCAAATATCACGTCCTCAAATATCGATAGTAATTCACCAGTCACCCTGTATATAATGAGTGCATTTATATGTTATATATTTTTTTAATTATTTAAATTTTTATTTAAATCCCTACTAATATTATAAATGCGAAAGTAACTCTGTCCGTCTGTCTGTTACACTTTCACGCCTACACCATTGAACTGATTTTAATGAAATTTGATACAGATATGGAGTTGAACTTGAGAAAGAACATAGGATAGTTTTTATTCCAGACTTTTGAAAGGTTCTCTTGGAAACGCGATGTAACCGAACTCCACGAGTTCGAAGCTGCGGCGGAAAGATAGTATAAATGATAAAATGTGACTTTGAAGCTATTATTATGAGAGTTTTATATTATCCTGTCCACCGTCTTCTTGCTACAGACAGTGTTTTCTCTTAAGACTTGTCAAAGGAAACCTTAACGTATGAGTTATTAATAGTCCCAGGAGGAACTATTAAAGATCCATTACAACCTATTATACATATTATGTAATGGATGTAATCATTAAACCCTTCAGGTGACAGAATACTAATTCTATAATAGACTTAACGATTTGTATCATTATATTATATTGTAATTAGACTGATTGTATTTTGTTTATTATTTAATTATCTAATTATGGGGTTGTTTATTTTGTGTGTGTGTGTGTGTGTGTGTTTGTCTGTGTCTGTCTGTCTGTGTGTGTGTGTGTTTGTGTGTGCGCGTGTACTGACTGTTTGGTCATGTGCGTGGCAAGCGCGGTGTACAGCCGGTGTCTCCTGAGCCGGGCCAGCAGCGCGTGCAGCAGGTGTCTGAGCTGCATGAGCAGCACCAGCGACGCCATGGACACCACCACGTTGCTGTACACCACCATGTGACACACGTGACACGTCTCAACCACCAGCGACACAGACTGGAAATATAACACATACATATTATAGTAGGACGGAGAAAATCAATTACTTAATATAGAAGAGAGACATAGATAATAACAGTATACAAGTTATAACACTTGAACCAAATAAATAAGAAGTTCTGAGTAAATCACGTTTACGTGTCGGGGTTATTTAGATTTCTGAATATTATTTTTTTTTATATTTTTTCCTTCCTCATAATTTCCTCTTCGTCGTTATAATGATCAACAATCAAATTTATTCAAGGTATCGGTTGTAATTCCATTAACGTTATCAATTCAAGGTATTTTTTTCAAATTTGGGTTATATGATTCAGCGAGGAAATGATGTGTATGTGTGAGTGAGGAAATTATTTCTCTATATCTGTGTGTGTGTGTGTGTGTGTGTGTGTGTGTGTATATACATACATCGAACGCTAGATGTGTGTAATACGCGGTGGCGCCGGCTGCGTCCGCGTCCCTCACCCTCAGCATATAACGAGCCATGACATGCAGCGTCGGTACCGCCACTAGCAGGCACTACATACAGACATACACTCATGACGTAACTTCACATACACATACACTGTATATTGTAAGGTGCAGTTCTGTGTTGTGTGGTGTACCTCAGCGATCATGAAGGCGAAGGTGTCCTTCCCAGCGGCCAGGCCCCAGGTGACCGCAGCCACCGACAGTCCCGTGGCCGCCAACAACATGCCCGACAACAGACACAACAGACGAGCGACAGCCGACCGAGACACGCTCGGAGATGAGGACAGCTGACACAACACATACAACTATCACTAGACGGATCATTTTAAATGTAACTATCAATATGTAATCGTAGAGGTAACCATCATTAAATGAACTTCAATGTACTATGTTTGAGAATCTTAAATGACTTGATGTATCTTATTATTGAACGTATACCTACCAGGTTATATCTTATAAATAAAATTCTCGTGTCGTGGTGTTAGACAGAGAACTCCTCTGAAACGGCTGGACCGATTTTGATGAAATTTTGTAAGCATATTAAGTAGGTCTGAGAATCGGCCAACATGTATTTTTCATACCCCTAAGTCATAAGGGTAGTTCACTTTCAATTTTTTTTTTAATTTTCGGACGAAATTTGTTGTTTTTATTTTTTTATAATGTAGCATAAAAAATACATACAACCCAAAATTTTTCACTTTTTTATCAAAAACCTCTATTTTTTTATATGGCAAAATAACGTTTTCCGAGTCAGCTAGTTTATTATATAAATAGCGCTATCTTCAGTTAATTGCTCATATGGAACAGTTCATATAAATATTAATTAAAATAATCTTTTTAAAACTACTTAGATAAAAAATCTCCCACAAAAATAAGATAAGAAATTTGATTATATATGTATGTATGTGGGTCAATTATTATTAATAGATATTTTTCAACGTTACTATCGAAAACTATAAATACTCAAATCACGTCTTTACCGACAGTTTCGAGTTATTCATGTACAAATCTTCGCAGAATCATTCGCGATTATGTTGAAAGTAATATAAAACTTTTATTACAATTAATGAACTATAAGAATATATGAAATATATATTATTTTGAAAGATAATATATAATAACTAGCTTTTGCCGCGACTGCGTCCGCGTGGAATAGTGACTTCCGGCAGATTTTTGTTTCTTCCCACATAGTTTCCGTTCTTGCGGTGTTTTCAAAATGGTCGAGTTCCCGTAGAATTTTCAGGATAAAACGTATGTTTTTTTTATTCACAATGAAGTACTCTTAACCAACAACATATTTATTTGTTTATTTGAATAAAGATTAATATAATTATGTTGATACAACTTAAACAAATAATTTCGACCAAATTAGGTACCATAAAAACGGTTTTTGTGAGTTAATCTTAAAAGATAGACATATACTGTCGCGGACTGTTTTTTAGATCATTAAAAGAGCTATTATTCTTTAATACATATTTTTTGTGTATCTTGAACCGTTTTCACGGCGCACGCAACGGAAGGCTTCAAAGATGAAATAATTTCTCCCGTTTTTAACACATTTATCACCATATCTTTGCTCCTATTGGTCGTAGCGTGATGTTTTATAGCCCACAGCCTTCCTCGATAACTGGACTATCCAACACTTATTCAATTCGAACCAGTAGTTTTGGAGATTAGCGCTTTCAAACAAACAAACAAACAAACAAACAAACTCTTCAGCTTTATAATATTAGTATAGATAAAACAATAGTAGTTCAATAATAATATATAAGTACACATGTCAAACGGCAGGTCATTACCGATTATATAAATTAGCAATCCAAGGTGTATGACCTCTGCAAGTTTCTCTTCCTCATTTACCTATTTCGGGCTCATTCATATGTAAAAACAATATTATTCACAATAAAACAATAAACGAACGGAAAAATATAAAAAAAACATGTTTTTTTCATTAAAATTTAAATCCCTTACATTACTTTGAATCGATTATCGTGTCAGTTCTTTGAAATAATTATTTATTATAGTTTTAATTGTATTTATACGGTTTAGGAAAAGTACAAGGAACGTGATAGTCAACAAGACCTTAGTATTCGTCTTTTTAAGTATAACGATCCTATCGTAATTTTTTCATCGAATAACTTATATTTATCTACTACATACTTCTCACTTTATAGTATTAATAGTCCAGTCATTATAGTAAGTTCACCTCGGAATTCGAGATACCCAGCTGTAAGTCTGTAAATAGTTGCATATATACACCCTAAAAGTTGTCTCAAAACCTACATATGGTAGGGTGTAAGCAACTATTAAATTTCATGGTCAAAGGTCACAAAAATCGGTTTTTTGCGCTTTTTTTGGAAATATCTCATTTCCTATGGGTTTTTTGCTATTTGTATTTATTATCGAAATTGTAGAATACTAAATTTTCTACAAATTTTGTTTCAAAAAATTTTTTATACGGTGTACCGTTTTCGAGATAGAAGGCGGAGAGCGCGCGGTCACCGCATCACTTCAGGTCAACCGGTGCCTCCGGTCGAAAACGCGCCATATATAGTTGATGAACTATCAATAAATCAATGATTATAAATATTGCATTAAATCTATATCTATTCAAACCTTATTGGCAGTCTATAATGCTCCGAAATCTGTGAAAAGTCTCGATCATCTTCGTTATACGCATTTCGTCAAGTCTACAAAACTTAATAAACCTGCTTTCAAATATTCCACCAACAAGTGCAGCTGCTCATCAACATTTCAACCGTGTATATTATCAAGTTCAAACTTGGTTAGGACATGATTTGGAACCCCAGGTATGGGGTTGGGCAATGCGAAATGATTTTCTGGAGCCTATCATGACAATTTTACCACCTGCTCCAGAAAATTTGCTAAATACAACTTTCTGCAACTGCAAAAGTGGTTGTGGTTCGCGATGCGGATGCAGGAAAGCGGGCTTGCAATGCTCTTTAGCTTGTGGCCAATGTAATGGGCAAGCTTGTCTCAATGCTCAACCATATCAGAGCGACATTAACGAAGATGGAACCTTTGATCCCGAAATCATGGAAGAACTTGAGACAAATGTGGTTGAAGAAGATAATGAAGACCAGTTTGAAATTTACCAGCAGCCAGAAGACGACGATGAAGAGGAAGAAGATGTTTAAAATTATAAATTGTAGTTTTTGTACCCTTTATTCCATTTTTTTACTTTCAATAAAAAATAATTTATTCAATGATATTTTTTAATAAAAAGATTAATTCATAATTTATTTGTTTTTTTTTTCATCATGTAAAAAATTATTAATATTAATTAGGTTAAAATTCAAATATAATTCTTATATTTTCATTAACAATTCTGCAATTACATGGACAAGTAAGTGTTGTTAAATAAATTAATACTGAATAAAAAGTGGATAACTTAGGAAAAAAATGATAAAATATAATATAATAGTTAATAAAAATTTACAAATATTTATAATCATTGATTTATTGATAGTTCATCAACTATATATGGCGCGTTTTCGACCGGAGGCACCGGTTGACCTGAAGTGATGCGGTGACCGCGCGCTCTCCGCCTTCTATCTCGAAAACGGTACACCGTATAAAAAATTTTTTGAAACAAAATTTGTAGAAAATTTAGTATTCTACAATTTCGATAATAAATACAAATAGCAAAAAACCCATAGGAAATGAGATATTTCCAAAAAAAGCGCAAAAAACCGATTTTTGTGACCTTTGACCATGAAATTTAATAGTTGCTTACACCCTACCATATGTAGGTTTTGAGACAACTTTTAGGGTGTATATATGCAACTATTTACAGACTTACAGCTGGGTATCTCGAATTCCGAGATTCTTACCTAATTTAAGCTTAAATGACTGGACTAAACGTAGGTTATTGAGTGAGAAACGTGACAAGCTTCGTTTGCAGTGTGAATATCCAAACTCGTGATAATAATACTATTTAACTGCTTTGAACTTTATTAACTTTGCTCAATAAACATGATGTTTTAAAGACGATACATGAGGTCGATGACACCTAACTAAAATGATGAGATTACAATTTCCGTAATAAATTACAGCATTAGTGTCGTATATACTAAATTATAATCTGTTCTATACTTAGATGACTATTATTATCGTCAGCCTAACAGAGCCCACTGCTGACCAAAGGCCTCTCATATAGAGAAGATTTGAGCGTTAGTCACCACGCTTGCTCAAGAAGTTGTAGATTTTATCTTTATAATTCGGAATTATAAGTCTAGGTTTCCTCACGATGTTTTCCTTCACCGTCTGTCAGTTGTGTCTAAATACTCTTAGAAAGTACATATGACTCGGAAAAATAATTACATTGGTACTTGCCAGGTTTCGAACCTTCTCAAGCACGAGAGGCGGGCCTTTAACCTCTAGTCCACCAGGACTTACTATTACTATTATGACTATGTTAAACGTGTACTCACATATTCGAATCTGTCTAAAAATCACATTGGTAGTTGCCCTCAATCCTTTAACTACTAGGCCACCATGACATACATATGTTGCCATATATACTAAATTATAATCTGTTATGAAGTAACACGACTATTATATACATATACCGTATACTCACATAGTCGAATCTGTCTTTACAGAGCTGTCCCAGTAGGTGTAGGAAGCCGACCACAGTGAACCATCCGCTCCACAGCAGCACTTCATCCATGTACTGTACGTTGAGGACTCCGAACACGAAGATGAACTTGTAGAACACGTAGTTCCAGAACTTGTCTTTGACCCGCTGGGCCTCGGACACACGCAGACGGCCAAACACCGCGCGTTGTATGACCAGCCCGAACAGGGCCAGGGAACAGTAGGCCATGTTGATCAATGTCTGGAGAGAAGAGAAGGAGTCACATGAATACACACACACACACATATATAGGCATATACATGATGTTTATTTATCAATAATAAGAACTTTCATCACCCTCTCTGACCCTTGGACCAGGAAACTCCGTTTGTCGCGACTAATATTCCATGATTTTAATCAGATTACAAAATATATGCTATAAACGTTTATGAGTGGTGTTACAATATAATAAATATAATAAAAATAATAGTATCGGTGTATAGATAAAACTATTTACATGAGGGAAATACCAGAATTATTGACGTTATTTACAATTATTATTTGTCGTGTCAACAATCTCATTACATGTTATTGAGAAAAAGTAAATAGCCTTATCGGTAGTTGCTTGAAAACAAATCACTCGGAAACAGAATATATCTATATGTATTTTTGTCATATACAGTGTAAACTCCATATAACGACACTCGATTTAACGACAAACTCTCTAAAGCGTCGAAATCATATGACTTTGGTTGGTTTAGCTTGTCTACCATACAATGATACACTCTATATAGCGTCACAGCCACTCGCAATAACGACAAAATTAAGTAATAAAAAGTACCCTTTAAGTTGCTAAAATTAGTAAAAAATGCGCAGCTGTGTACGTTTTTTTGTCGCTTTGTTATCCTAGCCCGCAATAAACTCCACTGTCGTAATCATGCATACCAAATTTTCTAAGAAATTCGTTCTTCACCAATATGCCTCAATATCGCAAGATATGAATAAAATACGTAAAAAATACAACAACATTACTGGTGCAGCAAAACACGTCAAACAAAAACAACAGACTTTATAACATTTTTTTTATGTACATAAGTACTAACACTAGTCTGAAATAAACTTTGTCTTTTTCTAATTCTGATTTTTCTTCCCTCTATTTTACGGCAACTCTCTATAACGCACTAAAATGCACGGTCCCTTCAGTGTCGTTATATAGAGTTTACACTGTATTTTAACCACGCGGTGTGATAGCTATTAATAGCACTCCTTATCCTGACCTCACGTAACCTACGAAATGTTTTCTTCAAATATTTTGCTCTGATTATTTTTATCAGTCTTTATTTTGTGACACCAAAAAGTATGTCAGGAAAAGAATACGATAAAATTATCTTTTGTTCAATACAATTATTGACTATATATCATTCATTTTATACTTTCAACAATCTCGCCGAAGCAAATATGTCTCGACAGCATTTCTCACGCCACTAGAACTCTTCTTGAAGAACCTCTCGTAGACTCTAGAGCATCTTCGAACGACATTCTTTAAAATGTAGCTATGAAGAATATCGTCAAATAAATGACCTAGTGTTTAATAATATAGAATTGAATTTATTCACTAACCTATATATATAAATAAAAGTTGTGTTAGTTAACAATGTTTATAACTCAAGAACGCCTGTACGGATATGATTGAAAATTGGTGGGGAGATAGCTTGGAATAAGTATACGGACATAGGATATTTAGTTCTGTTCGATCGAAAAAGAAAAAGATACTTAATAAATTCCAGTCTCAGGTTATATATGGCCTCTAGGGCGGAATAGAGTTCGCCTGGTCAGCTATACATATTACATTACTGATTCCGAAATTAACGCAGACGTAGTCGCGGATAAAACCTAGTGTTATTATATAATGATTTTTATTTCATGCAAGTATGTACCATAAGTTTTCTCCTTCGACTATTTTGTCCATATTAATTACTTATTTTCAAACTAAATGTTATAACTTTATTTATCATGTGTTTTGTATACAGGAGTAAAACAAAACACAAGCATGTATCTATCTAGTGTAATAGGTAAAACATCTAACGGAATGTATCGTTTGAATAAAAAATACAACGGAGTATTGTAAACAAGATACCGTAATGAATTAACGGTTCGGCGAACAGAAATGAAACGCGTTGGAAACACTCACTTATAATGAACATATGGAAGGTCAGAGCTAAACAAGACTTAGTCTGTAGCATAGATTAGTCTATAGCATAGATTAGTCTCTGGTAAAGATTAGTCTGTACCGTTCCTGTTCCTCAGCATCACCTCATCTCAATGATTACATCTCCGCGAGGCGATCGTTAAATGCCAAGGCCGTATTGGATGAACATGGCCGGTCAGTCCTAGACATGACTCTTATATAGAGAAGTTTTAATACTATTCAATGATTATATGATTATTATAAGCTAGCTATTGCTTACGACTTCGTCCGCGTATTAGTTGCTGCAAATTTGGTGACTATAGAACTATTTCAGAGCGATAGCATATTGATTAAAACTATTTTTGAATATCGGACTTTAATTAAAGGAGTAATAGCGTAATCAACCTTTAGTAGAATTGTAAATATACAACTTTTGAAATCGGTTAAAAATTTGCCGTAATTACTGCTTACGGTATTACCTATACAAAAAAATATTCTTAATATTGAGAAGTCACTTATTCCAGATATTAGCCGGAATAAACAAACAAACAGATAGAAAAATTCCTTTAAAAATGCGGTTTAATGTACATAGGTATTGTATATTGACGTACATATTATGTGTTTAGAGAATAGCTGTGACTCAGAAATCATACAAACACTTTAATTTTATTTATAAGTAGGTAAATATTATAAAATAAATAACTCCGTACGGTTTTCTCATACAGTCATGGTGATTCATGGTGTGTATTGAATGTTGAGAGGGCATACACTTTATTTAAGGATAAGTCACACACACGAACCTCGTAACTTAAAACATACTATATAAATACGACGAAGTGAGTGTTAATATAAAAAGATTGATACTGTACACGATATAACGGTTTTTTTTTTTATGCTAAAGGGTGCAACCGAGCAGACGGTCTACCTGATGGAGGTAGTACCGTCCCCTATAGACATCCGTTACATAAAAGATATTGTGGATGTGTGGCCACCCTTGATTAGGGAAGAAGGGAAGGAAAAAGTGGGAAAAAGAGAGAAACAGGAAGGGGAGGGAAAGGATAGGAAAATGAAAAGGGCAACCGGCTGTCTCATTCACGTGTCACGTCAATCTTCTGTGAGAGGGTGGTAATTCCCTGGTCGAGCCAGCCTAATTTTGAGCTTTGGTATCTTGACACACTATTTCTATCACCTACATAACGGTCTCAAAAATTTAAATGAAACTTAAAACTAATGAACATCATTACAATTTTTTTTTCCTGCTCTGATCCCACTCTATGTAGGGTCGGCACAACATGTCCTTCCACAGAACATGTTGTAAATAGTTTTGGCTAATTGTTTCTTACGACCGGCCGCCTGCCTGACATCAACCCTCTTAAATACTAAAATACAATTTAAATAATTATCTGATGTGTTTTCCTGAAATAGGAATATATAAAATACAAAGGAATAAAACCCAAAGTTACAATTAAATTAATTAACTAATATGTTACTATATTTAAACTATAATTATTGTTTAACTGCTTCAGTCATTTATTTAAGTGATTTTAACCACACTCCTGTATTAACTGATTATTTTCACATTATACATATGTATCATTAGTATGTATCATACGATTTTTTTTAAATTTTCCCACCTACCAAGAAATGCAACGTGTGAAGCCTGATTACAATGAAATTTTAAATTTATTTATATGTATGTATTTTAATGATTCTAAAATACTTTGAATATGAGAATTATATGCAGTACATTATATTAATTTTTCTTAGGTGGTAGATCCTAGCTGTGGTCAGGTTACTACAGCTCGAACATGTGCTGGCTCAACCGGGGAAGTACCACCCTCTCATAGAAGATCGGCTTGAAGTAGACTTTAGTGGCTGCGTTTCGTCCGAAGAGTGAGAGAGCCTGTTGCCCTTTCCCTATTTCCCGCCCTTTCCTACCATTTCCTTATCCCCACCCCTTCCTATTCCTAAAAAAATAAGGTTGACAACTTATCCGCAACAATGTTTGTTCCGGATATAAATGGGCGACGGTACTACCTTACATCAAGTAGGCCGTCTGCTCGTTTGCCACCTTTGGAATAAAAAAAAAACAATATAACATATAATATTTTTACATCATTTTCATAAAATACTTATCTAATATCTAACGTCAGTAATGGTGAAGTACTTAGCTTAATTATTAAAATGTATTGTAGATATTTAATGAGGACTTCCATCATTTCGACCTGTGACATACGAGCTTCCACACACATTGCTGGTAAGGATAATTTTTCTTTATCCATGTAAATTGAAATCAAAGCATTTACTTCAGATTGCTTTCACGATAAAACATATAAAAAGCGAATTAAAAAATGTAGTTATATATATATATATATAGAACTATTATTACCCTTTTTGCCGATGAAAACAAGGAAAAAACAATAAATGCACTTTGATATAAGGTATAATTAAAATATCTATTAATACATTATCATTATAATTAATCAGACTTAAGGTGTAATAACCTTATGATATACTTTTAAAATCCGACTTCACGATCATACCAGACGTGTCACGTTCATTGTTAATATAAATAAACAAAATAAATATATGTATTTATTTAAAAAGTCATTGGTCGTGTTCGATAAATATATTTTATATGGGAATTACACAGGAAGTATGGAAGGTGCGTATTGAAAAATATTATATGAAGACTAATAGTGGTCATTACTTGACAACCAGCGACACTAGTACGTGTTAAAATAATATAAAAAACTAATTAGAAGGAGTAATAATATATATGAGTTCAGATTATATATTATGTGATTATATGAAATGGTCAAAGTACCTCAAGGAATGAAGGAAAGTACGCTGTTAAAAATAGTTAGAGAGACCTCATGATTGACTTAGTACTGAATACTCACAATAGCAAAGATGCATTAATCGCAGTTTAAAAATTAAAATGATTAAAACATAATAAATATTCCATATAATTCTACAATCATAAATTTACTTTAGTATATAAGGTTATTTTTATATTTCTGTATTCAACGACAAATTTTAAACGCCTTTTAAGCGAATAATTTCAAATACA